TGCAGGGCCTGTCTGGGGGAGCAGCAGCAGCCAGCGCACTTCCTGAAGCCCCGGAAGTGGCGTGTAGCTGCGGGACTTCTGTCCGCTGGGTGGGAAGCCGGCACTACCTCCATTGTTGCAGGAGGTAGGTAGTGGGGCTTCTTGGGGGTGGGGGAAAATGGGGGGCCCCAGACGCCTCACGATCGACTGGACAGGCCCGCCCGATCGACGGGTTGGTGACCACGGGTCTATAGCTGGCACTTGGCTCTAGCCATGGAATGGGACTGTCTTTTCACACAGTCTGAACATCTAACGTAATGGGCCTCTTGATGCTAACTGTGTACCAACTGTGTGTAAGATCCAGGGCCTTGGTCTGAGTGTAACTAGCAAAGGGACATTAATTGCCACCTGGTCTAAGGAGCTCATCAGTATTCATCTGACTGGTCTGTGCATAGCCAGCGCTGAGCACACGATCGCCTCTGAGCTACCCATGAACTTCATCTGATGCCGCCAGCAGGAAAACACCTCTCATGAAAACCTACAGCTTCATACATGACACAAATATGGCAATAAAGTCAGAGGCAGTTCATGCTAGTGAGACATGTAGTAATGAATGGTGCCTTGGCCAAATGTCTTCTGCTACCATTGCAATGAGCCGCTTCAAACCAATGCTCACTTTTGGGGTGTAGGGAGCAGCCTGTGTTTTCAAATGGCAGTGTGGTTTCTCCATGAAGGGTAACAGATGAAAGAACCCACATGCACCGAAGTAGGAAAAATGGCCTGGCTGTCCAGCACCGTGCGGATAACAAGCACGTGGTCAAGATTAATGCTAACAGACCTACACAATCTTGAGTGTAGTTAGGAAAACAGGCAGCTAATGGCAGATGTTTTTATTTAAACTATAAGAATGGCACCTCCTGTGAGTCAATTCTGAACCCTTGTCATACAGCCAATGAGACTCGGAACTGCAAACAAAGGTTTTTAAGATTTCCGTTGATTTCATTCCTAACTAGTCTCTGGTGGATAGTTAAGATTTCTGAAATAATACTCATTATAGACCCATAACAAACATGATTGCTTCAAAAGAGGAGCTTGTGTTTAAATGTAATGACAGTTGGCTTCCCTTACATGAAAGCCCTCAGCAGAGTGGTGGGAAAAGCCTGGAAGACCTCTCTGCTGAGACTAAACATCTTTCTAACACCAGTGCTAAATGGGGCTTTCAGACAGAGATTAGCAGGGCACTCCATTGCGACAGGACCTAGGCTTGGCCCCGCTCTGGACCAGCTGTGTCCCATGCTCAGCAATCAGAATAAGGACTTTCAGTTGAGATTTTCAAGAAGTCCAGAGGCATTAACCATCCCCCTTAGCCAGACAGATAGGCAAACACTCTCAAATATATAGAAGAAGAGGAGTTGGATTTTCCTTGGTTACACTGGTGTAAATTACAAGATGAGGGGTCCAGTAAAGACTAGATCTTCCTGGACAAAAAGGTGACAACATTCAGCATGTAGCATTCTCGTACACCTTAACAGGAGGGCAATCGAGTTGACGCATCATTATGAGTATCAGGGTTTCTAGCCTCGTGAACCAACCAACCCCTCCCACCCAACACCATGACGTTAAGTCTTTTTTCATGACAACTGAGTAGGGCTCGTGCTGTAAGGCTAACAATAGGAGTGCAGACATTGGGGCTCATTTTCCTCCACCTCTACAACTATCTTCCAGAGGCCCCATTTATTGTCAGAAAGGCCAAAGAACTTACAGTTATCCAGTATTAAAGCAATGGAACAGCCGCAGTTTGCAGAGCCATCATCCTGCATTTAAATTATAAATCAAAGCAGAACTGTCACGGTAGCCAAATTTTATTTTTTAAACTCTTAAAATCTAAGATTTTCCCAGGGGGTTAGCTACCCTGGTAGATCATTCACTAGTGACATCCAGGGCCTCTAAATAGCCACTTGTTCCTCCCAATAATGGGACCCTAGAACCTTGTTTTGACAGGTGTGTGATTCCTACATTAGTGGTACGTAAATGCATGATGTGGCTTCTGCACCAGGAAAGCCATTTGATTGATTAAACTTACATTACATTTTGGCTTCCATGACCAAACTAACTTAAAAATATTTTAAGTATTATACCACTTGTCCTTACTTACCACTCATGTTTACTGCTGGCAACACAATAGACATCTTGGGCCGTCTGGTCTTATTGTGGGTGGTGGCAGGCAACAACAAGTGATCCTGGAAACATGAAAAGATGGGTTACATTTGTGTTGAAGCACCAAGTTGCAGAAATGCCTCTTCATTCTGTGCCACGTGCATTCCATATAAACCTGTCTATGAAGAGTTGGTGATTTCATTTTGGTAACAGAAGTCACAGCCACTTCCCATACTGTTGAACCAAATAAGAGTTCTACTGCATATAGCAACATGCCTCAACCCTCATGTGAAAGAGGATGGGAACTACGCTTAGGCCCCCGCTCAGCAGAGCCCTTAAGTTTGTGATTGAGTTTATTTAACTTGACTTCAGCGAGATTTAGGCATTTGGTTAAAAACTTTACTGAACTGGAGCCATCACTGCCCATGCTGTTGGGTTTATGTAGTCCTGGTAAATAGGTCATTCTTCCCTCTTTTTGATGAATGGGGCAAGGGTTACTCCTTGAGAAAATGAAGTCCTCTATTTAGGCCCAGAACTAGCAATGCACAGAAAATGTCAACCCAAGTATGTACCCCACTGTCTCAGCTCCCTGATCCAGATGGGCTAGCTCCACTCCACTTCAAGGCTCAGCTTCCCCATCAGCAGGGGTGTCAATGGAGACGCACACCAGCTCACTACGCAGCTCCTGGAGATCCCCTCGAAAGCGGTTGGCTTTTGGTTAGCATTAGTAACCCTCCTTCTGGCATGAAACATAAACCATTAAAACTGGCACTCAAACACCACCACCACAGCCTGTACAGTCCCTCAAGTACAAATTCAAACTCGTGTTTCCAGACCAAAATGGTTGCTAACTATGGGGGCCAAAACCTGCTCCAACCCATTGGTTTCAGTCAGGGAATGCAGCGGGGAAGGGGTTAGAACCCATGCACGTGGATGACTTGGAAAGCTTTAGATATGAAGGAGGAGACATACAAGGCTGCGCATTGGTCTCGAACACCATACTGGGGCTGGGGCCTTTCACTTTGGAAGATCCAGCTTGAAATCTCGAACCAATAAAAAGGGAAAGTGAGTTTGAGGTTTTCATCCTGTTTCACACCCTACCACGAGGTGAAACTCCCATGACATTAGAGACAACTAGGGAATAGGCAGGCAGCGCTGAGGTGCACTGGCCAAGTACAGGCATAGCATGGACTGCTATGGGTCAGGACCGAGACACACGGACGGGAGGCATTTCAGAGGCCTGCACTATGCTTTGCTCAAGGCATACCGATCAGCCACTCAATTTCCTGAGAAAAATATTCACTTAATTTTTTGTTTTAAACAAAAGCGATTTTTGCTTGGAGTTTCAGTGTGCTAACTAGGGAGTTCTTCATACAAAGCTAAGTGTTGGGTGTATCTTACACTGGAAAAGAATTTTGCAAGATACCACAAAGAGAAAGAAAACCAGTAAAAACAAAATAAACAAACCAATCCCCAAAACAAAACAACTCAGCAAAGAACTCTACTTAAAAATAACCATGGCTCTTAATCTCAACAGTCACCTCTGACACTAAAGAGTAAAACCCCACAGTCAAGCATTGTTGACATAACGACAAAACTCAGCAAAGGTCAACAACTCCACAGTAAAGGCTATTGTGAAAATCAATACAGAATATGTCTCCTGGGAATGACGAATGATAATGTCAGAGTTAGGTCTAAACTTCCTGGCAGCGTGTGTCATACTCTGAAGACTGGTTTTAAACACTAGTGTTTGAATTTCATGCCCTTCATTTTTTTTCTTTCCAAAAGGAATTAAGCTGAGTATTATTTACTAAACACTGGAACTGCTTTTTCCAGGATATAAGTCAGGTAACTGATTAGTGGATTTAAATCAGTAAATCTTAGTAATCTTTTTGCTAAAGAATTTCAAGGTTCATGAAGTATTCACACTTGAATTGGTTTTTATTTTTGTCGGTATTACTGTAGCATCCTAGGAGCCCCAACATGGACCAGCTGTCAATAGTACCTTTATTGATTCTGAATTATAAAGTAAGAGGAGACCCATCTGATCATTCTAGGACTGTTGGATAAATATTTAGAAACAAACTGCAGTCCAATTGCAAATTAATCCTACAAAATGATTGCCCCCAGCAATAGTTTGCTTCCTCAGTTGTCCTGCTCGAGATCTCAGTGCCGTGAAATATGCCGGACTGAAAGGTTACAGCAAATATTTTTCAGTACCCTCAGCAGATACAGAACTGACAGTGCCCATGCCAGTTTATGCTACCGACGCCTGTTGTCTGCAACAGAAGCCAGTGCCAACCCCACATGGGAGCTGCACAAATTCCACTAGCTACATTTCTTCACAGCTGAGTTCTAAATTATGGCTCTACTCTAGAAGTACAATGGACTGGAATCTAGCTAACGCAGAGAATTTTCCTTCCTTGATTCTCCAGGAAAGCTACATTACACAGTACTCGACAGACACTGGTTCCATCTGTCAGCCCCAGAGAATACATGGCCTCCATGCCTCTGTTGAAGTGGTTCTGACCCATGAAAGCTTCTGCCCAGTCAAATCTGTTTTAAGTCTTTATGGTGCCACAGAACTCTTTGCTTTTAAAATGAAAATGTTATTTGTAGGCTTAGCATTTTGTGTCAATTCTATGGATAGCACCAATTTCTATTTTAAGCGTTTTCCCTGAAAAGGTATTTGAATTTTCACAGTTGCAGGAAATGAAGGGGGTGGTGGGTGGCAGATAACTACTGAAGGACAGTGGGGCTGCAGGGGGAACCCTGCTTAGCTGAGGGCCCAGAGATATCTGAACACAAGTTGCTCGAGAGGCTGCAGTGCTGCCCCACGGGAGCAGAGTCCCCAGGCAAGGACAGACTAAGACAAGGAGAACCCATGGGGGCAGGGAAGGCCATTTCAATGCAGAGCAGCTCCAGCCCAGGGCAGAACCCAGCACTTGCAGCTGGTGAGAGCGCGAGCAGGGCTGCAATAGAGGGGCTAACCACAGAGGGCTCCCCTGGGAATAAAGGCCCGGGGTGATGAATCTCCGTGGGTGTAAGGTGCTGGGGAGGCCTCCATTAATGTTTTCTTCCCCCGATCAATTTCTGAGCCATGTGAAATTGACATTTACTAGACTAACGATTTAAATCAAACCCTTCCAAGCCTAGTTATTTGTGACACTAATTCATGAAGTAGAACTGAAAGGAGTAGAAGCAAATCCTAAAAGCCAGCATCCGCTTCATTCCTGCAAGCGTTGGCCAGAGGCAGACTAAAGGATACTAGCCTACAACAGATGGCTCTGGTGCAGGCCAAGATTTACATTTGGATGGAACGACAATTTCAATAGACAATGCAAAGCTGACAGAGCTGGCATGGCCACCGGAAAAATAACTGCCTGGAAAGACAAGATTTCCAAGTGAGACCCTGGCTCCAACATTCTGCTTTCGTTAACAATCATCTCCCCCGCCTGGTTATACAAAAGCCAGATGACCTAAATATTCTAAACTCCATCCACGCATACAATGCCTTGCATTAATAAATCTGAAATACAGTAATTCAGGGTTTTCTGAGGCTAACGGGTGTTAACTGTTACTTATTAATCTTGTAATCATCATTTATCAAGCCACTGACCTCAAAGAAGAGTCTGGGTTCTACACAGTTAGAATACAATTAATCACTGCCTGTACGTCAGCATGACGACATAAAATATTTATAAGCTATTTTCTCTATAAAACTGAATGTCTAATCAGATCCTGCTATTCCTAAAGCCACTCTAGTGTCTGCCACCTGCTTCTAGACACAGCTTTGTAGGAGATACTGCAAGTGCTCAACAATGCAATCTCTGAGAACGGTGCAGGAAAGTCGATGTGGTCATTAAAGAACCTAAGGTTGTAAGATCAAAGATAAACTGCTCCGATTTTGGTCGCTATACCTGTATCCCTAACTCGCTCCTACCATGTCAGAAGGCGCTGGGAATTCCTTTTCACTGTGCTAGGATATTCCAGTGTGGCCAGCTCCTGCTGTTTTAGCCTGACTCTTGTGATATTTGGGGAGTTGCTCAGAAGTCCAGCTCCTGAGGTTTTGCGAGAATGTGTGAGACTCTCATTGTTTGTAATCTGCTAGCCCTGGCAGCTGAAGAGCAAAGCTCGGACACATGCCCTGCCTATGGGTCTGTCTGCGCAGTAACCTACGTCTGGCCCATGCTGCGGAGCGGTTTCATTGCACTGCAGACTTCTGGGCTTGGGCTGGAGCCCAAGCTCTAGGACCCTCCCCTCTTGCAGGGTCCCATGGTCCAGGCTCCAGCCCAATGAAACAGCCCTGCAGCCCACGCTCTGGTAGCCCTTGTCAGCTGGCCCAGGGCTATGGGTGTACTAGCTGCTGTGAGCCCTCCCAAAATGTATTCTATTTACAGGATTCAGAGAGGCGGTCGAGTTAGTCTGTAACTGGAAAAATGTAAAAGCGACAAATAGTCTAGCAGCACCTTAGAGACAAATGAAACATGCAGCTGGGGTCCCGTGCTTGGGCTGTGTGAAAGCTCATGGCGCCATCGACATGTTTGTTAGTCTCGAAGATGCTGCTGCAAGACTACTTGTTTTCTTTTTAAATGAAGTAGGGACCTGACTCATGGTGTTTGAATGTCTGGGGGTGGCAGTGCTGCTGTTCTCTGTGCTGGGATGCCAGCCAGGGATGCAGTTGTTGTTTTTATAGTTACAGACTAACACAGCTATCCCTCTGAGACTTCTTCCCAGGCAAAGAGGCATTTCAGTGGTGGATGAAATACCATTGAGGTATATGCATTTCTGTGGTACTCAGCAACAAAGAACTGGAATGATGGGTTACTGTTGCTGCACCCGTGATGCAGGGAAATACTGCCATCCCCTTGGGGGAAATGGGCAAGAGAGAGCTATGAAAAGTGTCTAAGGGACTGTCTATACATGGAATTTCACATGTGACTTCAGGAAGAAAGTTGGGCGTTGCAGAGGCTTGCTGATGAGGAAGGATGAAAGCACCTTGCGTAAGAATTTATGGTGGGTGCGTGGTGTAACTCTGTCCTTTCAAAATACAGTAAAACGCCATTGGTCCGGCATCCAATGC